TCAAACTTGCGATATATGTATGGAGTACTAAATGTTGACGAAATCAAAAATTAATTGCACAGTTTGGTTGTACTTTACGAGACGAACGTTTTAAGTCTAATTAGTCAACGATTGGACAATTATTATCAAATAAAAACAAAACGCTACAATGCGCTACAGTGTATCCAGAATTCAGTCGGCGCCAACTTTGCGAGGAACTAAACGTGGCCTTGTTGTCAAGTGATCCGACGAGGGATTTATTGTCTGATTATTCGACTATTCACATGACAAGATATCCAATTGTCGTCTTCGCTTTTGCGTTGGATTTAAGTGAGCCAACAGAATCACATGAACGAGTGGACACGGCAACGCGGTTAATTGCGATTTGCGCACCTTAGATTATTTATACTCCATGTTATTGGGTTCTGTGTGGTATAACATGCTCACCTGAGTTTAACGCCCGGTTTAACATGAGTGCTCGTATTTTTTTTATTTATTTTATGATTTAATGGCGCTATTCTTTCAGTGTTAAGCAACGTCGCCGACAACGAGACGTCTATGATGATTTCGTTGATTTCAAGATTTGCCGGTCCAACAGTTTTTTCGGAAAGTACTCATAGAGATAGGATATATATGTGTTCATAGAGATGAGTGTACGCTCATGTATCTGAGCATCTGCGTATGTAACTGGATCTTGCAAAAAAATATCATTTATACGGCATCTTTGGATAAGGAGAAATCAAAGAATATAATAGATCTATATTTAGAGATTCACTTAAAGGTGTCGTTGAAGGGTATTTTATTTTAAATCTTTGTTTTATAAATTATAAGTAGGACATGAAGTCTTTTGGAGTTTTGTTACGAGCTTGATTGGTTGACACCCAAATTTTAGTTGTGAAAACTTGGGCAAGCGCTGATTTGACCTCTATTTGATTTGTTGGCAAAATTTACTAATATCTCACAATAAGTTGTCAAATCTGTGATAAATATATTTGCTAAACTTTTGGTAACTTTTGATTAACCAAGGGCCCTACACTACTCATTAATCAACCTCACCAATCAATGGCCCTGAATATGGGCAAAGCACGCGACGGCCACCAAGCAAGCAAGCAAGCAGAGCAAACGAACAATCGAGAGAACCAATTCAAATAAAAAAAAATCGATTAGGCGCGATTGCTATTTGATTGATACTCATGGCAGCAAGAATTACACTGAAGTCATGATGGATCACAAGCGGACTTCCAGACCATAATCAATCATTCCTTCGCATACTCACAGCATGACATGACAGCATCTAGGGAGAAGGGCAAGGAGAGAGAGAAAGAGAAAGAAGAGAGAAAAAAAAGAGCAGATCTTGATCTGAATCACGCCGGCGGCGGCGCAACCTACTCCGGCCCCGGCCGGGTACTAGCCCGCGTAGACGTGGATGCCGATGGCGATGAGGAAGATGGTGATGAGCGCGAAGTAGAGGACGGCGTGGACGAGGATGGCGAGGCCACTGGTGTATGCTGCCGAACTCCGCCACCCGGCCCCGGCCCGGCAGCGTGCACAGCAGCCCCGGCGTGAGGACCACGAACAGCACCGTCGCCACGATCACGGGGCCCCAGTCCGCCATCGACGCCTCCCTATCCCTCTCCCTCTTCCTTCCTTCACCTCGCTCCCGGACCTCTCAAGTGAAGAAGCTCCCGAATCTACGCTCTCTTTTTGTTGTTCTCGAAGTTTCTCTTGAGGAATGAGGAGCGCCGCAGTGGCGCCTGCCAATCACGCATTTTTAGAGGGGAAAAGAAAGCGAGGCCGGGGCCCACTGCGTGGTGCGCGAGCGACTTGGGGTCCCACGCAACATTGGCAGGGACAGATGCGTGCGTGGGCGTGGGCCAGCCTGTCCGGCGCGGGGGCAAGGAATCCAGCCGTTGCCGCTTTGCTTGCGCAGTGGAGTACACGGGTGCAAGGATGCGAGGTCGGGTGCGTGCACCCAAAACCGAAACCCGAAATCGAACCCGAATCCGCCCGAAACCGATTCGGATGGAAATCCATCACCAAAACCAAACCCATGGATACCCAAAACCCGAACGGATCGGACCCAATAGATACCCGTAGCGTATATATACACTTCAGTATAAACAGAGGCAACAAATAATAAATATTTTCGTGAGTCAACTTTAAATAAATTTAATAATCTAAAACAAATTATTATTAGTATGGCTAAAACATGAGTTTTTCCAAATGATTTATTTCGGATATCCATTGGATATCCACGGTGAAAAACTAAACCCAAACGGGTTTGGCTGCTCGTTCACGCGCGCTGCCGCTGGTTTTTACACGGCGGGCTGCGCCGACCCGAGCAGTCCCTAGCGCTCGCCGCCCGTCGTCCGGTGGGGCCGATATTCAATGTTGAAACACCATTCGAGCCACTTTCTCACGAGATACTTTAGTTTTCCTCCGGACGCTGTTCAGCAGCGTCGTTGTTTTCGGCCTGGGCCGAAAGCAGTCCTACGCTTACCCGAGCAGTACTACGCCGCCGCCCGCTGGTCCAGCGAGGTCGGTCCGGGCCGCCGAGCTGCTTACAAATCGACGCAGTGACGCCGTTCCGGAGGGGCAGCGTTGCCGCCGGCCCGCTCAAGCAGACACCGTCGTCGATGAGCTCCGTGAGGACTTTAAAAAGTATCAGACCTCTTCTCTGTCACAATCTTGTATTTAGTACTCACTTCACATTCAGCAAATTTTCATCTCACATGAAATCCAACTAGCACTAGAAGTTTGTGAATGTGCATGTGTGATTTCTAATATTAAAAATGAATCTACAATATACAAACTTCAGAGATTATAGGGTTGTGAGTAGTTCAGTAGTTCAGTTATTTCAGATAGTTCAGTAGTTCAGATAGTTCAGCACATGGAGTTCAGATAGGCTAACTTATTTATTGCTTTAGAATTGGTATGTTTGATCTATGTGTTATTTGTTTACAGCTGATGCTTTGCTTGATCAGAAAAATGCAAATATGCAATCATGTGTTATCCATTATGTAGTAAAGTTCTTCCTCTTGACAAAATTTGACAAGAAAAATTTGAGCATTGTGAAAAGCAAATCCGGTTTATGTAAAAGGCAATGGCAGAACTTAACAAGCGAACACCTCAAGTTGGTTTGAGATTTAAAAATTCACATGAAGTTTGGCAGTTTTGGGTGGCCTATGGGGGTCGTTCTGGCTTTGATATTAGGAAAAGATATACAAATTATAGCAAATTTGATCGTAAGGTAACATCATGCAGATATGTTTGTGCCAATGAGGATCATCGAAGAAAAGTGAAAAGAGATCATGTGGCAAAGTGTTTTAGACCTGAAACAAGAACCGATTGCAAAGCATGAATGACTATTACATTGGACCGAGGGGAAGAAAATTATGAAGTCACTGATGTTGTGGAAAGAGATCATGTGGCAAGGTGCTTTGAATGATTTTGAATTTGTGGACTTATGCTTTGGAAGTGGAGCACACAAATATCCAATGTACTTGATCTGTCTACCAATTATGTGCTTGTGAAAATGGCTTTGTTTGTGTGCCTGGAGAGTACCTGTATATATTATGTCCAAATACACATATATCAAGCAGACATCAGTAGGGGCAAAATCTTGCATTTCCATTTTCAGATTTTAGTACTTCACAAGATCAAAACAAGGTCTCTTGATTTCATCATATAGACTAGTAGAATATGATATGTTTACAAGAAGTGATTTCTATACAAAAGCTAATTACATTCATCACAAAGACAGAAACCACAGTGGCAGCATTCCTGCCTAGTCCACCTCCTCCATGGCGGCAAGGACCTCTTGAACGGTGTCGTGCTACTGAGATCAGCCTTAGCACGCAGGCTCCATCTTCTCCTTGCTGCTCCGACTACCAGCTTCTCCAGAGAGGCGCGACAGACTGCTTTCTTGCGGCGTCAGGATGGGAAAAGCTGCTGACGACGCCTGGTCGGAGCTGCTGGCGGCGCGAGGCACGGGAGTGCTGCAGGAGCGCTGAGGCACAGCGTGCAGCGCAGGAGGCCGGAGCGGCAACAGCGCGCGTCGCGAGAGGCCGGAGCGGCAACAGCGCGCGTCGCGAGGGGCCGGTGGCAGCGCGCGGCGCGGGAGGCCGGCGGGTTGCTGCGGGTAACTGTTGTGGCGTGGCTCCTGTGAGATTGACGCACTTTTTTTTTAAAACCGATGGATTGGATTCGAAGGGTAGATAGAGGCCCGCACGTTACGCCGTGACTTGCCACCAAATCTGAGTCCCAGCGGCTCACGGGTTCGGGCCGGAGCAGCAGAGGATAGGGAGGCCTGCTGGGCTTGGGCCCTTCAAAGATGCAATGGCCCGTTCATTTCGCTTGAAAAAATAAGAAAAAATATTATTCCGGCTGATTTATTGTGAGAAAAAAAACGCTGTTCTACTAAAAAACAAAATAAAAAGTACGAATTAGAAGACCAGCGACCGGGCCAATAGACTTTTTTTACACCGGCCACCGGCTCAGCTCCATCCTTCGTTTTTTTCTAAAAAAAAAAAGCAAGCGCCAGTTCTTCAGTTGAATTATTATAAATTACCCCGAAGTCGATCAGCAAAAGATCAATCAAATCAACGAAACAAGGAAAAAAATATGCCTACCGTATCGCCAAATTAATCAAGCAAGCGCGGTCAGAGTCAGCTTCCCTGATGAAGCTGCAATGCAACGCTCCCTTTCTGATCCCATCCTCATCCCGATGCTTTTCCTCCATGGATTCCCCTCCTCCCTTTCTCACTCTTTAGCGTCGATTGGATCAGCCAGGCGTGGATGTCGTCGACGTCTCATTCCTCGATGAATCTCCTCTCTTTTCCGCTCCATTATTATTGCCTACTTTCCCTCTCCTTCCTGCTGCTCGAGCTCCACAAAATGCAAGCACACGTTGGGCATCCACACGACCACACCCAGCACACGCAGCAGTACAGTAGCTACCTAGACTAGCTAGTTAGTGATCTGGAAGGAAAAAGGAGACCAACTAATCGAGACCGGCCGGGATGCTGGACTGGGCGCCGGTGGTGGTGGGCGTCGTGCTCTTCGTGCTGCTCTCGCCGGGCCTGCTCATCGAGCTCCCCGGCCTGCACCGCTGGGTCGACTTCGGCAGCCTCCGCGTCACCGGCAAGGCCGCCACCGTCCACACCATCCTTTTCTTCGTCATCTTCGTCATCGTCACCATGGCGTGCAACCTCCACATCTACACCGGCGCCTAGCTAGCCGTAGCTACTGTGGCCGGCCAGCTAGCGGCGCTGCCTACCAGTGATGACTACCGCACGTACCGTACTTCTTCATCGTCGTCGAGACGCCAACCCGCCATTTGTATTTGTACTCTCTCGTCTCAGGTCACACGGTGGCGCCCGGCCATCGACGCCGCGTGGCTCTTCACGTGCTGTATGCCTATTTTGACAAGGATGTACTTATAGGATCATGTTGTAGCAGCGTCTTGAGTCTTGATGCTTGAAAATCGGCAGTATTTTTTTTTTTTGCGAAAATGAAAATCGGCAGTCGTGGATCTACTTTTCAATTTTCATACATTCACTTTAATTTATGCTACTTTTGTTAGAGATTCAGATTCTTGTGAAAATGTTTCAGTACTCTCGTAATCACTGATTCCCTACTGTTTGGTTGATATATATGATGTGGATTCCAATTAAAAAAATATTTTTCATAAAAAACTATAAAGAAAACTATATGTATTTCAAAAAATTCTAACTTGTTACATTTAAAAAGGACAACTGAAACAAATCATATCGCTAGTGTACAAGACAGGCAAGAAACAAATAGGTGTCAAACTAGGTGGAGCCGTTTCGCTTGACCAGGCAAGCGCACAACAATCTCAGACAGAATCGTTTCATGGTTCCCCAACAAGGGCGACGTCACAGGCTGATTGAAATTTTCTCTGAAGTGAGAAAACATGCAAAAAATAGTCTTTGCTACCTATTCCTTCATCGCTAAAAGCATCTCCAGCAATGTTTTCCCTACTCTGGATTTGGGTAGTGGGGTTCAAAAAAAAACCCTGCTCCAACAGACCCCATACTCACTATGCCAGAAAAACGTTATCAGTGACACGACGATTCGTGACACAAAAACGAAACGCGTCACCAATAATCTATCCGTGACGCGGGTTCACGAGGCGCGTCACCGATTAGTTGTTGCCCATGCCCCAGGAGCAAGACGCGTCACTAATAACGATGTATTCGTGACGCGCGTTAACAAGACGCGTCACGGATAAAAATGTGACACGTATTGTCAAGGCGCGTCACAGATAGATTGTAGTATTGGTGACACTGGTTAACAAAACGCGTCACAGATAAGGCATGTGACGCGTTTTTGCTGGACGCGTCACCAATAGGAAAGCATATCCGTGACACTTCTCGATAACACAAGTCACAGATAATAAATGTGACGCGTGTTCTAAAGACGCGTCACTGAGTTGTGGCCGGGGACACATCTACAGCACCGATCTTAACTCATGTTTATTAGCTTCGTCCCCTAAAAAAATGTCCCGGTCGAAATAAAAAACGCGTGGAGCTCCGACCGCCGACCGCCGCCGTCGACTTGCAGCTCCGGCCGGTGCCCTGTGGAGTCCCCACACCACGGCACCTACAGCTCCGGCCGGAGGCAGCCCCCACCCCACCAAGGTGGACTCCCAATCCCGGCGCGTCTAGAGCTCCGGCAGTCGCTGCGCGCCGCGCGCCGCGCGCCCACCTCGGCTCCTCTAGCTCCGGCCGTCGCGGCCGCCCATCTCGGCACCTGCATCTCCGGCCAGAGCCCCCCACCTCTGCGCCGCCCCATCACTCGAGCCCAGGCCCCGGCGGTCACGTGTCGTCGTCGGCCTCCAGGGCGCAGCATCGTCGGACTAGAGCACGGCCGTCTTCGTGTCAGCAAGGGCGAGATTCGCTCGCGTCCATCGCCCACCTCGAGCAGAGGTACAACATCGCTCACTTCTTTTCCCTTTTTCCCTTGGGCTGTGTTCTTGATTGTGCAAGAAATGGATCCGGTGCTGTCATGTGGAAGCGTTCAGAGAGTCTGTAACTGTCAATTGACAGCAATCTGTAGTGTACACACTATTGCTCGGATGCAGAATAATCTCTAGTGTCAGGTACAGGTACTATTGCTTATCTCTAGTGTCAATTGAAGCTTTACACAAAAAAAAATAGTGTCAATTGAAGCCCCACTATTGCTCATCTCCTGGAATTAACTTTGAGATGCAGGCTTGTTTGATGGAATCATGGAAGCGTGGCTAGCTAGACAGCAGTAGACTTGTGCAATATCCATCCATCCAATGATTCAAAAAGTTCAAAACTGCTACTTAGAATTGATGTTAAATTGCAATAGCTTCGCAGTCTAAAATGTGTTGCCTACGTGGCTCCCAGAAAAAGAATTATGGGAAGACATCTGCATGTTCTTTTTTGTTTCTGGCAAACAAACACTGACTGCTACTAATAGGTAGTCTACTTTGTCAGGCAAAATTATCAGGTCCCGTTATGTTCCATTGTTTCTCTGCTATAAACGTGGAATTAGTCCAAAACTAAACTAACCAAAGACAGATTTCAGTTTCTGTTATATATATGCCTATGATTATATATATGAGGTTCCTAATGTATCTCTGCTATGGTCAAATAACCAATACTGCCAGACACTACTTAGCAGCAAAATTTCTTGAGGTCGTGCCTATACTAAACCAGTTACTCGAATGCTTGTGTGTTCAGATTAATAATATCCGATATGCTTGATTTCTGCAGGGAGCAAAGCATCAGATACTCGAGGAATAGCAAAGCCTGATTCCTGACAACTACGTTTGTTCCAAGCTGCAAATGCTTTACTGCTTGAAATAATCAATGGAGGATTGGAGTGCTGAACACCACTAGCCAAGAAGTCTACTAGTTGGAGGAAGCTGCTACTGTCCAAGTAGGTATTTTCTGCATCTTCCCAATTGGGTCCTCACAGTGTATTATTGGTTGTTGGATTGAGACATAGTGGGATTGCAAACATAAAGTCTAAAATTTAGTATTTTTTGGATTATTTTTGTTGGGATGGATTGGACTGATGTCGTGAGGGATTGGTTAAAATTCCAGCAGTTTTGGTTTTGAAAATTTCATTGCAAAATAGACAGTAGGTGTGCTCTCTGTTCAGTTTAATGCATAATATTTTTCTATCAGTGGTATACAGCTTAGTACCCTGTTCTAGCTAGTTGTTGTCTTCTTTGGCTGTTAGTTCAATATCAGGTCTGACTGAACTCACATAGCCAAGCTAAGCTCTACTTCAGTGCAACTTGTTTTTCATAGAGCTTTGGCTAGTCATATCTTTTTCTTTGGAGTGTCACACTGATGCAATAGTAAATTTACTATTCAAGTAATTTATAGGATTTTCATGCAAGGATTAGTTGATTTCATTTGTTTTCATACTTTTGTAGATATGGAGGATCGGAGCTGGATGTCTCTTCGCAACCGTGCATGTGCTCAGTACTTAGATGGTCTGAAATTATTCATAAGAGCTGCAGAGGCGGATATGTTGAATCGACACAAGACAACTATGTGGTGTCCATGCATTGATTGTGAGAATAAGAAGCAGTTCTTGAGTTCATTAACACTCCATGCCCACCTGATCCTCCGAGGATTCATGGATCACTACAGATGTTGGAACAAGCATGGAGAAGGAGTTAATGATCGAGACTTGCAAGTTGGTTGTATGGACCAAGGATTCTCTGGTGACCTACGTCAGGATGATGGAACTCATGGTGCTGGTCAGGACAACGAGGAAGGACCCTTTTGCATCCTGGATCTCACCGATGACAAGCTAGCAGATATCAATGCCAATTATGCCCAGAAGTCACAGGACCTTGAGGAGATGGTGCGTGATGCCATGGGCTTTGATGAGTACACTGAGGCGGAGATGAAGAAGCTGAAGAGGTTGATGGAAGACATGAGGACTCCTCTCCATCAGAGCTGCAAGGCAAAGTATTCAAAGTTGTTTGCTACTCTCACGCTTCTCCAGTTGAAGGCGACATATCATTGGACTGACCGGAGCTTCGATGCATTGCTACATCGATTAGAGGACATGTTGCCTGAGGGGAATGAGTTACCCAAGACCACATATGAGGCCAAGCAGATTGTTTGCCCTATGGGATTGGAGGTCGAGAAAATCGATGCCTGCAAGAATGACTGTATACTGTACCATGGTAAAGAAAACAAAAAACTGACCGAATGCCCCGAGTGTGGAGTCTCTCGATACAAACGAAGAAATGACGGGGGTGATGAGGACAAGAGGCATGGAGCTCCTTGGAAGGTGGTATGGTACTTCCCTATAATCCCTCGCCTGAAGCGTTTGTTTGCAACTGCCAAGGACGCGCAGTTGTTGAGTTGGCACAAGGAGGGACGCAAGAATGATGGTTACCTACGGCATCCAGCAGATGCTATTCAGTGGCGCGTCATCGACTCCAAGTATGCATCTTTTAAAGATGAGCCAAGAAACATTCGCTTTGCACTGAGCACAGATGGCATGAACCCGTTCGGTAACAGGAGCAGCTCGCACAGTGTCTGGCCTGTGTTGTTATCGATCTACAACATTCCATCGTGGCTATGTAACAGGAGGAAATACATGATGATGCCACTTTTGATCTCGGGTCCGCATCAGCCAGGGAATGACATCGACATGTATCTGAGGCTGGTTGTCGATGAGCTCAAGATGCTCTGGTCAAACGGTGTCAAGGTATATGATGGGTTCAAGAGAGAGTCATTCAAGTTGCGTGCAATGGTGTTAACCAGCATCACCGATGTTTTGGGACACCATTGCTTGTCTGGGCAGTCCAAAGGAGAGAAAGATTGCTTTCAGTGCTTAGATGATACCGAGGGTCTTTGGCTGAACAACTCGAAGAAGAGGGTGTACATAAGACATCGCCGTTTCCTTAGCCAATCCCATCCTTACCGGCTCATGAAACGCCAGTTTGATGGCACAATTGAGAAGGGATCTTCAGGCGTCACTTGGGTCAGGGAGAATGATGTGCTAACTGCATGTTTGGGCCCTGAACAGCCAGGCCGCGTGCGCGCTGTTTCAAGTTACACTGGCTGGAAGCATGGTTGGCCTGGGTGTTCTAGCATGTATAGAAAAAGAAAGAGGTCTGGTGCAGTAGATGTGGATGTGGAAGCGATAGCAGCTCAAGTTAGACAAGAAGTTACAGCTTAAGTCACACAAGAAGTGACGGCTAAGGTCACGAAAGAGGTTACCAGCAAGGTCACACAGGATGTCATGTCCTATCTTGCAGACCAAGGCTTGTTGGTAAGACCACCACCTTCTAGGACCCCTAGTCCTGCCTGTGGACGAAGGAGCAGTTGTGCCTCTGCCTCCAACGCTGTTCCAAACGACTTGGAGTTGGGGCCTAGTTCAGTTTCTCCAGATACTATTGATCTTCTTGAAGAGCCAACCCAATGTTCCTTGGTAGTGAACCTTGGAAACTATCGACCTGTGGTTGCAGAGGGTCGGGTGTTCCCAAAGGAGTTTGTGCAAGAATCAGTCCAAATAAATTATGATTATGCAATAGTCCAAGTGGAATGTGTACATCAGGGTTATGAGGATTATGTGCTGCAGCCGCCCCCTAATGATGATATCAAAACACTTAGAGAAGCTCTACTACAGAGGATATAGTGGAGAAGGGATTGGATTCTAGTGAAACAAACACATGAGACCCAGCCAACCCAATCTCAACCAGATGAGACCACAAAGAGTGCCAAGAGTGTTTCGAAGGGCACTAATGCTATTATTTCTACAAAGCTACTTTGTGGAGGCAATTCAACTCCTTCAAATCATCAATCTCCGGCCACATCTGATGCAACAAAGAGTGTGCCAAAGGAGCATAATACAGCCAACTCTTCAAAAAATCCAAACAACTCAGAGAAGGAGTGCACTAAGCTGCCCACGCAGCCTAAAGTGGGAACTGAGGCTATTGGAAGCGGTGCAAGGCCACCCAAGCAACCCAAAGGGGCTAGTAAGGCTGCTGGAGAGAGTGAAAAGGCAGCCATAAATAAAAAGTTGGCTAGTAAGGCTGTTGGACAGAGTCTAAAACAACCGCTGCAGCAAAAATGGATTGATAAGTACAAATGTGGCCACCCATTTCTCCCAGCAATGGACCTCAAGGCGGTAGGACCTGGATGTACTGCTCTTCATGCTCATTACATGAAAGATTGCGTCAACAATAAGCATGGGATAGTGGTTAGGTTCAAGGGTATTTATATGCTGAACTCATCAAATTTCAAAGTCGGGCTTGTGAGATACAATTTTCTGTATGACCTCTTCCAATTTGGGGCATTGGATGCCTCTCTTCTTCAATGCTGGATATTGTAAGTACCTCCAAACAAATATGTGTTCTTTACTTTTGTTACCCCATGGTAGAAGAACAGAAATAAGGTCATAGCTGATAGTAGTTCTCCTTACATTTAAAGTAACCATCTAATAAATAAATCATCCACCTATGTCATTATGAAAACTATCTATATCATCCCTACATTTGTATCTAGCCATCTCCATATAGAGTATTTGGTAACTAAAATTTATAACAATCAGGCAAAGATAGAAGGTATATATATAATGTACTATGAGCAGAACATTTCCTATTAGTTATGTGCCCCTAACTTTATCCATGAATTTCTCTCAAGAAATTACTAGGCTGCACAAGAGCTCAGATTGGTGGAATTTGATTCCACCGTGTTTGGATCATATTTTGTCTAAAGAGGTACTCCATATTCTCAAAAGAAATAACCGAATAAGTGAGAAAAGAGAGGATGTGAAATTTAGTTTCAGGGCTTTTTTGGTACATATGTAAGGCCATAGTATTTGAGCTGTAGCTTTTGAACATGTCAGCTTTTCTGTTCCGGTGGTATATCTCCCCTACTGCTGCTGCACGCCATCCAGGCATAGATTGGGCTTGGGCATGATAGGTTTTTTTTTCTCACCCATTGTAGTATTTCTAAGGTTGAGTGTGAGCATGCCAAAAGTTTCAAGTTTTTCCATGTGTTGTATGACCAGAGATCCTACATAACTGATAAACATGAATAAAAGATATGCTCTTTCAACTTCAATTTTCATGCTCTGCATCATGTGTATTCTAGCTGACCCAGATAAAATGCAATTAAGCTGGTTGAAGTAGCTGACCCAGATATATATGTTTGCAGTTCATCGGCTGTTCTGTACTCATTTTCTCTAGGCATATCCCTTTTGGTTTATGTACTCATGTTGTCTACATGTTCTTTCTTATTTTTAGATCACTGGTTGTGGAAGCTAAGGCTAAGGACATTCATGTGGGCTTTCTAGATCCACAAGTGATGTCACTGGACAGCATAACATTTGATAGAGACAAAGTTCTGCAGTATGTACAAAAGGCCTTCACCAAGTATACCAAGAATGACTAATGTTTGCCTACAACTCTGGCGGCTTAGCTGGTGATCATTGGATCGTCGTGGTAATAATTCAAAAGTGGAATAAGGTCATATACCTTGATTCCAACAGATCTGAAAACCATGATTTCAGCGTGCTAAAACTGTTGATTGACGAGTGAGTTGTTTGCTTACCTACTATTGACTTGTTTCATAAGTGCCAATATCATTGAACCAACATAATGAGCCATATATATGTGTGTGTTGTACTCTTACATGTAGGGCTTTTGCAAGACACACAAACAAGCTGAAAGACAGACCACAGCCATTGAAACATGCTTTTAAATATGCGGTAAGTGCTTCCAAAAATAAAAGTCAATATTGTGCCTCTAGTATATTAAGTACTGTGTTCAACTTCTATTTTCAAATTATTGTGTTCTATATATATTTGTCGCAGTGCCTTCAACAATCTTCTGCTAAGTCATCTGGCTGGTATGCTGCACACCACTTGTTTTTAGCTATGAGAAAGACAAACTTGGAATACTCTGAGGTATTCATATCTAAACTTTGGATGTGCAAATATAATGGCCCATGGTTGTTTGAGTGTGTGTGACTGTGTCATGTCCTAGTATAGTTTTTAGCCCATGGTACTTGTTCTGCTACCTGTCTTTTTCTATCTCAAGAGAAGAGAAAAGGTGGAGGCTTTATTTGTATTGCTACCTCTCTTTTCGTTTTGGGGAGTGATCTGATGAGGGTGAAGGAGCAGGTGCCAGCTCTGTGCTTTTGCAGCTGAACCTCCTTATGCTCCAGGTAGTTTAGTGATTGGATTAGGAGCATGCAGCTAGCTAACAGATTATTTTCTCTGATTGTTTATTTGTTTCCTAGCACTCGGATATAGTGTGGCCATTGTCGCAGTGGCCAGTTTGTGTTTCAATTTGAGTATCATTATTCGGTAATAGTGGCACTAGCCGATTGCTCATAGTCTTGATGAAAAAGTTTGTGTGGCCTCAGCATTCTGTCTTCAAATCAGTCTCAAGGAAACAGTCCTGCGTGTCCAGAAAAAAGTCTCAAGTAACAGTTGTATTTCAAACCTTAATGCGATTTCACTACATTTGTAGGCTATTCCCTTGATGTAGAAGAAAACTCTGCAGTTTCTTTTCAGTGGAAACATGCACAGTACTACTTTAGTCATAAGCTCGAATGCTCGATGCTTTACGCTGCCTATATATTTTACTCAGTGATAGACATAGGCACAGCACCATCTGCTTGCTAATGAATTTCCACATCTGCGGATGTTCCTATGTCCCTTGATTGTTTGCATCAAGCTTAGCAACTGTGATTTTTTACATTGATTGTCTATATTGTCCTGTACATTGTACTGTACCATGTTTTCTTTTTTACCAAAGTTCTATCTTGACACAGGAATTTGAAGTGTTGACGACGCCCATCGATATGCTCATGATTAGAGAAAAGCTAGCCAGGTTCTTAGTGGAACAAGTCATCGAGAAGAAAGGAGAGTTCCATCATGACCAGTGATGTGTGTTTGCCATTATCAGTGTGAGTCCAGTGATGTAGTGTGTGACTAAATAAATTAAGCCCAATGTTTAGATGGATTTCGAACAAGTTGTGATGGATTTTGAACAAGTTGTGAACATTTGATATAAATGTGAATCTGTTGAACTTGATGTCTATCTCGTGTGAACATGTTACATATTGATGACTTATATATATATATATATATATATATATTTCTTCTATGAACGATGTGGGGTTCTGATGAGCAATGTGTACATTTGTTATATGCTATCAGTGACACATTAGACAGACATGAGTCACTGATATCAAATTATCAGTGACGCAAATCAGTGACGCATATTCTTAGTATGTGTCACTCATATATCCTTATTCGTGACGTGCGTTACCACAACGTGTCGCTGATATAGACTTATTAGTGACGCGGTTTCCCATACAAATGTCGCTGATATGGATTTATCGATGACGCGTGTTCCCATTTTCGATGGACGCCGTATTCTGAATAAGCGTCACTCTATTTCCTTATCGCGACGCGTCTTACGATTATTGGTGACACATGTTCGCGTTATCAGTGACTCGTGTTCTAAATATGCGTCACGGATAGTTTCCTATCAGTGACGCGTTTTTACGCGTCACTAATGTGCCCTTATCACAGACGCAAGAATAGTGACGCGTGTTTTACGCGTCACTGATGACCCTCTACACGCGTCACTGATAAGGTTTTCTGGCATAGTGACTACACCTCTTCTTCTGTTGGCCTCCTACTTTTCCTCCTTCACCCCCGACTTCTGTTCGCCTCCTACTCTACTCACCCTAGTTTTTTTTCTGCAAGCAGTCCTGACGCGCCTTCTTCCCCTCGTCCGCCCCGGTTGGGACCTTCCTCACGTCCGCCGCCCGGTCACCGGCATCCGCCCAGCCACTGCCGCCCACCCAGTCGTTGCAGTCCGCCGAGCCACGACGAGTCCGCTCAGGCGTCCAGATCCGACCCAGCCGTTGTTGTTCGCTCCAGTTCAAGCATACCCGCGGCAGGGCCCTCCCGGCGTGGGCGTGCGGCGATGCGGTGTCGCCCTGCCATGACTCGGCACTCCTGTGGTTCCCCTTCTCTCGATATGGCCGAGCGATGATGCAGTGCCACCCTACCCGACGTAGCCTGCTCAACGCCGGTGGCCTTGCCCTGGGCGGCGCAGCAAGCCCGAGCGCTCGCCTCTGCTCCGCCAGCGTCTATGTCAAGAAGAAGGTGAGAGATGATGACAAAAGGGCCTCATGTGTCATTGACTACTAAAATGAATTTGAGTAGCATGGTTTAAAATATGGGTAGTCCCAAAATAGGTGGCTACCGAAACAGAGAAGTAGGGGATATGTTTTAGGTAGCATTACTGGAGATGCTCTAAGGCCATTCTCATTGGAGGTTTCATCATAGTTTCATTGACATTAAATATGCTGATGTGGCACATTATTAATGAAGAGAGAGACGATAAAAGTTTTATGGAAGTAGAGAGAGTTTCATGGGGATAAAATTCTTCTATACTATTTCCAAAATATAGATGTGTTGGAAATTGTGACATGAAACCCCACTGAGATTAGTCTAACACGCTCAAATAATGAGGTGGGATGGAGCTCGCAGAATCGTAGTTGGTCGTAGGAGAATCTTTCGTATGCATGTGTCTAGTTTCACGAATGTGAGAAGATCAATCAATCAAGAAAATAAAAAAGCTTAAATTCTATTCTCCACCAACCAAACAA